GCTGCCGAAATCACGAGTGGGTTCATATAGAGGGGATGGCTGGGGTAGGGGATACGTTGCCATGTGGACGGTACAACCGTTAGGGCAGTAAAAAGATGTCTATGGACTGATTGCATGGGCCAGTTTGACTGACTCACTGCATTTAATTTCTATTTTACACATCCATAGGTAACTTTTTACTTTCTACGCCACTGTTAAGGAAGTATGGTAATTGCGGAAAATTACGAAAATGAAATGTTGTTTTTTGATGTTATATGGATGTAGTCACGAAAAACCATTTCCGTCAGCTGTGAACTGAAGTGCTTGGAAATAAAATGATCATAATCTAACTGATGACAGAATTGCGTGAAAAGTACAGTCAATCTACTTGAAACCATTTTATTCACAATTTTGTGGAACACGCAAGACAAACCTTTTGAAAAAGTTACGAGCGTAAGCACTCATATATATACGCAAACTGATGGCCGAAATTCATCACACGAATTTAACATGTACATAAATTTGCCAAAGAAATAGTAATATATTCAGTTTTACTCAAACAGTATAAAAAAATGCTTAACTGAGATTCAACAGTTTTACCTGATCAAACTAACGACAGCGATCAATTTGTATTCCATGAATTCGAAGCTTACGAAACAGAGTTCTCCACGCCAGTGTGTTCAATCGGATCCATAAATAAGTGAGATTCAATGCACAGACATCTATTCATATATCCAAGAAACTCACTTTTCAAGACGCACTGATACAGTCACCTGACAAAATACAGATTAGCGAGCAACGAAATATCGATGGAAATATATTTTAAGACAGTGGCCAGGATAGTAGCAGTGGGTACGTATACCTAGGCCAAAAAACATAAGAAAAAGTATACGAACAAAGAATCAGAGGACAATAATTCGCTTACGAAAAATAACAAAGGTTAACACACCAAAATAAAGATAACCCAAATAGAAACTAAAAAATATCAACGTATTGACCATTGAAAATGGGATTAGTTTTGTATAAGATACCACCAAAATAAAATGTTAGATTAAAATACCGAAACATTTATTTTATCCATTTCTTTTATCCATTTCTTTTAGATAACCATTATTTTAAATTTTTTTATTTTTCACGCGAAAGAAACGCTCGACAAGTAGGGGTTATAACCCTCGCAGACAAAACCTATATGGTTTTGTTGCGTCGTTTGGAACAAATTCTCTCCATTACAAAATATTGGAAAAAATCAGTGATGTTGACAAAAAAAGTATTCGGGGGTAACTTTTAAGGGTGATTTTCACCCCTCAAATTACTTTTAATGCAGAATACGTTAATATTTACCTAATAATTTTCGTCAAGCCATAACATATGAAAAAATGACTCATTTCGGTCTACTCGTATATGGGTTGAATGGGACTAAGGGGTAGTTTTACCACCAAAATAAAATATAAGGTTACAATGCCAAAAAACGTGAATTAATTTTCATCATTTCCTATTAGCAAACCATTATTTGAAATTTGTTTGATATTGTCTGATTTTTCACGCGAAGAGAACGCTCGTAAAGTAGTTGTAACCCTCACAAACAAAACCTATATGGTAGGTTTTTAAGGGCGATTTTCATCCCTCCAATTACTATCAATGCAGAATACGCTAATCTGTGTCTCATATTTTGCGCTCAGCCATAACATGAAAAAATGATGCATTTCTGGGCAGCAGCGGTGGCCGCAGTAGTTGACTCTTCGGTCTCCTGATCAGTCGCCGTGCGCTGTGCGGGTTCGAGTCCCGTCCCAGGAGAAATTTTTCTCTTGGCTATGGATGTTCTGATTGTCCGTAGGTGGTAGATGGTCTCTGACTGTCGAACGCGGAGGTACCACCCGGCGGTTCTCGTAGGCGGAGCCAGAATGTGTGCATGTTGCATGCACACGTGTTCCCTCGCCAGAGTCCGTGTGGCGTCCCCCCTTTCCCATGTATCCCCCATAGCCCCACGGTATCCAATGGGTGCTTAGGCCTTAGGCCTTCGTGGTAGTTGGAATATAAAACAAAAAAAATATATGGTTGAAATAGGTATTATGGCTAGTTTACCCCCAAAATAAAAGATTAGATTATAACGCCGAAACACGTCAATTGATTTTCATCATTGTCTGTTGGAAAACCCTCATTTAATATTTGTATGAATTTTTTTTAATTTTTAACGCGAAAAAAACGCTCTAACCCCTATAAAATGTAGGAGTTGCAACCCTGGCAACGAAAACCTATACGGTTTTTTTGCGCTTTTTGAAACTAATATTTTCCTTTTTTGCTTACCAAAAATATTGAATAGTACCAAAGACAATCAAAGAAATGTGACTTAGGGTGAACTTCATGGGTGACTTTCACCCTCTTAGAGTGCATGTCAGCAGATAAAAAAATAGGTGTCATATTTTTCTATTAGGTACAACATATCCAAATTTGAAATCGGAGGCGGAGGGCTGGCGAGATTTCCTTGTGAGATTAACTGATCGAAAAATGGCGTCAAGTAAATTGACTTTACACTTCCCTCGCAACGCTAAGTTTAAAGATCTTGAAAATTTAAAAACTGAAATGTTTAATGAAAACTTTTGAATATTTGAAAACTTTGAAAAGCCTGAAGATTTTGAAACCTTTGAAAATTGAGTTCTGAAAGTTTTGAAAATTTTGAAAATAGTAGTTTTGAAAATTTTGAAATTTTTGGTAATTTTTAATATTTTGAAAATTTTGAGAATTTTGAAAATTTTATAACTTTTGGAAATTTTGAAAATTTTGGAAACTGAAAATTTTGAAAGTATAACAATATTGAGAATTGTAAGCATTTGAAAATTTAAACTAATTATTTCAAAAATTTTGTTTCAAGAATTTTGAGAATACTTGAAATTATTCCAAGTATTTCGAACAAATTAATGTACGCAGAAATCTAAGTGTGGAATATATACTAATATCTGCATTGAATTACTGCTTTAGGATATGTATAAAAGTACCAGCGCCAAAAAAACTGAATCATATCCTCTCCCACCTCCTATCGCCCCCTGCTACCCCCAACCCCCAATTTTCAACCCGCACAAAAATAATTCCAAAAATGATCAGGTGCCTTGGAAACGTCCAAAGCGAAGTTTGAGCGACTTTTATTTGTTTCGTTGTTTGCCTCTAGCACCGCCGCCACTGGATCGATTTTCAAAAACTACAAAGCTTTTTCGTCCTTGGCATAGTAGTAACCTTCTTTGAAAATTTCATCCAAATCCGAGCGAACTTCATTTCAAAAGACCAATTTTTGGTTTCCTTTGAATCTTATTTTCATTCTGTCTTTTTGATCACCATCTACTATTTAGAATAAATTTGATAAAGTATGGAAAGACCCCGGTTACAAGAAACCCGGTACAAATCATTGCCAGCGAAAATTGATACAATTAGTTTTAAATCATAATAAGTTCGATTCATCAAACAATACTGTATAGGTGTCAAATATTGGACACCATTAATATTGGAATAATACGCTTTACGTGATGGATTGCCAAAATAGCTCCAGCATTCATCAAGCGCTCCTTTAATTCAGCGTCCTCCATTGTTGTTTCTACACCAAAGCTAACTGAGAACTGGATAGTCCTCCATTTGCATTTCATACGACATACCACGGAGTAGTAGGGGTGGGACGCTATTCCTATACATTCGACCTAACTAGTGGGAACACCACTTAGACAAGTTCCGACTAGTACGGAAGAGTACGCATTATACACCGTTACACTTTTGCATTATCTTTAAGGTGCTTTGAAATGAGGACAGTGTAAAGCGGCGCCATTGGCCATTAGTTATAGAGCCAAATTAACACCTTTCATACACACCTTCTTAGTCCATATTAGTGGGGTCTTCATATCCATAAGTCCTCACAAGACCGCGTGCGCATAGCTTTCTACTAAAATTCCGATGCTGTATTATTAGTGGAGACATCAACAAAGACATTCTATAACAGGTTAGTAGTGGGGCGGGTGTAGAGGGAATCGTTAGATCAATTAGTTATGGGTACATATGCTTACTCAGTCTTGTACTGTCGATTTTGTGAGGACGTTCTCACAAGAAAACTTTGAGTGTATTTGGTAACAGAGGAGTGTATAGGTATTTTAAAAATAGCTTTGGAATGAGCGCGTAACGATCTCGTTCTCCATGTAGCCAGGTTGAAAGTCCCCACTACAGCAGTAAATATCACGCGGCCTCACAACACTGACGAAACCTGTATAGGTGTGTATGTGGGTATGTATTGCATTAGTTTTAGGAAATTCTACATAATGTTTACCAGGGTTGTGGGGACATTATGTTCTCTAGGGACATACACGTGTTCTCACAGTGTTCAATTATGGATATAAGCAAGGGCGGTTACTGTCCCTACAGCGCCGGTAAAATTCATGTATGTATATTTATATTTGGGAATCCATGTACATACTGTATATAGTTGTGGTGTATTTTTGTTTAGCTTAGTTATAACTGTAACATTTTTTTAATGACATATCTTAGGCAACGCATATTACATCGTGCTCTAAATGTACTGACAAAGTTAGTTAAGTGTAAGAGTATCCTAGGCTAAACTTCTTTGTCCCTCTCATGTACCACAAATAAAGGCGTTATTATTATTATTATTATTAATATTATTATCAAAAAGCAAAGTTTAGTGTGAGAAATTTAAGATATGCGATCCATCGAGAATACTTTGAAACTTGTGAATGATAGATAGGAACTACTTTTGTCGACTTTTGATATGAGGGTAATTTCCTTCTAACATTCGAGATATACCGATTTGCGAGAGAATTTTGGATATTTATGTACAACCAAAAATCGATAAATCCAGTATGATGTTATGGTAGCTATGCAGAGTTTCAGTTCCCAATATATCCTTTTGAAAACGCAGATATGCGAGGCATGACTATGATATATTATAAGTGAATATCAATTACCTAAAGGTTTCATATTTGAAGGGAACAAAGGTAGTCACCGAGGGTATTGCACGTTCCGCACAGTCTCCAGTTACAAGACTTATCCACAAGTCAGATATTTGTGTTCCATAAGAGTACAAGTGATAATATTTGTCTTGTTCTATCAAATCCACTTTTTACGAGTGGTTCTGATTGGTAGAAAAAAGTAGCAATAGTTGTTTGATACTATTGCGTACAGAAAAAAGTCAAGTAATAGTAGGAACAGGTGTAAAAGGCAAACAAGATTTGTAGAGTGTCAGCTTTTTTGTAGTAGCAATTCTAATATAGATATCTAGTGGGGTCAATGTTAACATAGGCAGTGAACTTACCAATCGAGGTAAATACGAATAACTGCATAAATTAAGCGGAGGCAATACATATAAATTTATTTAATTCGATTAGCGTAGTAATTTCTCACAATGCTTTATTTAAATACTGTTGATTCTTTTCTAATATCTTAATTCCTGCCTCACATCGAAACTTGAGATGTTCTCTCTGCAAACTTGTTTTTAATTCTTTTATTATATTGACTCGTTCCACTTTTGAATGAACCTTGTTTAAAAGTATCATATAGAATTATTGGACGAAAAGCGAGTATAAGAATTTCGGAAGTACTGTCTCGTGTCTTTCACCGGAAAGCTCTTATCAGACCGCCAGTCTCATTTTGCCAAGATTTTCCATGCATTTGCTTTCGTTAATGTCGCGCTGAATACACTGATTAAAATGCATAATTCCTTTAAAGCGCCTTGGCAAATTAACATCTTCGCGAATTGTCATTTTTTGACAGTATTTGCTTGTTACTGAGGCCCTATTCCATAAAAAGTATGGTGGAATAATTACAAGTCAATGTACTTGTAACTTGTACTAATACGAGATATTGTGTTCCACACACGGTATACTAGTACTGCTTCATATTATACAAGTTACAAAAACCATATTCGCAAAATGGATGCTTATGTTCCATAAAAGTGTAAGTGATTTATATATATACAGGGTGTCCGCAAAGTTGGGGTTTTCCTTTTCAGAAACAACTACCCTTGAAATAACAAAGGTAATGTGTAGTGAAACGAGGGCGACCAAGTAAAAAAAAATAAAGGAAAAAGTACTCAATCTCCAGTTGACGAGAAGGGCTAAGTACGTCTCTGCCCGAAATCATACCGCTCCAACAGAAAATGAAATCAGCTGATGCGCTACCGAGCAGACGCAGGCAAACAGGGAAGGCAAAATGTTGCGTAATGACCAAACATGAGTGTGAACGTAGATTTGTCTGTCACCAATATGCACTTCAAAAAGTCCGGATTATTGTCATGTTGATGCAACAACCACTCACAAAACAGCACTCTTGCTGGAAAATCGTCAGGTTGAAGGGCTTGTACACGTTGGACGTGAAACGGATACAGCCCCTCTTCACGCAGCGTTTGCCACACTTTAGTTTTTGATACTTGCACTTCTCTAGCCACGTCTCTAGTGCTTGTTTTTTGAAACGCAATCGATTATATGGGTTCGTTTACCTCTACACGCGTGACCGTAACCGTCGGTTGAAGGTTGCATACTGACCTGACACACTGACCCCGACCCAGTTCTGTCGTCGGGTTGAGCTAGTGTCCTAGTACCATTTGGGGATATTGCGGCTACAGGACGGTATTCAGATATTTTTGATGTTGCAGAGCCCTTTATCTCGGTTCCCTTAAGACATTGGTGTATATGGTACTAAGAAAAATTGCTTATGTTTTCAAGATCTACACGTCGTGTAAAGGAAAACCCCAACTTTGCGGACACCCTGTATATATATATATACATATAAATGAATGAAAGACTTGTCTTTGGGGATATCGACAAATCAAGCAAAGTGTACCCTTCTGACTTACAAATACTCAAGCTTTCGACAGGCTATGCTGTCATCTTAAGGAGCTAAAAATAAAATTGAAAATAGTAAATAGCAAACCATGTTCAAATGATTATGATTTAATTACTTACTTCGTCAATGAGATTGGTGCTAGTGTTTGATGTATTAAATTGTATTTGGGAACACATGGCTAGATGATAAAAAACTGGATTTACTTTTTTAAAAATGGTAGAGAACATAATTATGTTTTAATGATAAAATATGTATGGATTGGGACAAACGTTGTTGATTGAATAAAATTCCTTAAAAACTTCACAAATTCACATCTTGGGCTAACCTAGAATTATTGGTGATGTTGGTACTATTTGCAGGTACTTGTGGTGGGGATCAATTCTTTTTGTTTAGTCTGTTACCAACCTTTGCTTAATTTGTCGATATCCCCAAAGGCAAGTCTTTCATTTAACTAGTTATTATCGACAATAACTATGAATCGCATATACAGGGTGTTTCAGTTTATTGTTGCATAACCTTAAGATTCGATAGAACTTTTAAAATTAATGCATAAAGTCTATATGAACATGGGTCGAAAAATGCGTGGCTTCCGAAATACAGGGTGTTTAAATTTACTTTCTAAAATAGTTTTGTTTAAATATTTCGAACAATATTTGATGTATAACAGTGAAAATTGGTATACAAGGGTTTTTTGGTACGACAAAACGAATCATGGGCATAGTTTTACTGTAGCCGCTAGAGGGCGCTCTCTACTGTACCTGTAGTGTATTAAAATGACCGACAAAATTTTCTTAGTGCAATTTTTTGCTTTTTGAATAAAAAAAACTCATTCTTCGCACTTTTCTGCATAAAAAAGCTCTCCTGTGAGTTTTCGTTATAGTTAGCCGTTTTTGAGATATTTCGATTTTTAAGGTTCGATGCATTTTTAATTATTTATGGGAAAATAATATTTTTTTTTACATATTCGATTTGGGCATTACAAGTAATTAAGATTTAGATTGTGTTTTTATACACAGCAATAATTCCTAACTCCAAATAAACACAAAAAACAGAATATTAATTTGTTTAATTTTCCAATATTATTTTTAACAAATTAAATTAATTATTTACAACTAAAATGCTATTGGATAGTTAGGACAAACATACAAAATCTAAAGTAGTTGCTCGAAATGTAAACCCAATTGTTCAATACACAATTCACATCTACGAATGATCGAACGTGGTATAGCATTATTCAAATAAGGCCTTATTTCATCACATGCATTCCTGATTCTGTCTATTAGCATATCTCTTGTGGCTACGGAAGTCTGGTACACTTTTTCTTTTAGAAATCCCCACACAAAGAAATCTAATGGATTTAGGTCAGGGGAGGCCAGGCGACTGGTCCTCCACGGCCGATCCATCTTTCTGGATAATTTTCGTCAAGCCAGTTTCTAACTATTCTCGAATAATGAGCTGGACATCCATCAAGCTAGAACCAGGCCATCTTCTTAAATCTAACATAACATCATCCCACATATTTGCATGTTCAGCCTGTAAAAATTCCAAGAAGGTCGCAGCATTTAACCTTGCAAGCAAAAGGTAGGGTCCAAATAGTCGATTACGGTAGGTACCAATCCACCCGTTCACACTAAATTCATGCTGAAAATTTCTTTCCCGAACTGCATGCGGATTTTCATGCGACCAAATATCTTGATTATGAAAATTTACTACTACACGTCTAGTGAAGCATGACTCATCGGTCCATAAAACGTTACTTAAAAACTCCCTATTATTATCAGTTCGATCAAGAATCCACTGACAAAATGTGATTCTTCGTTCTTCGTCCCCTGGCTGTAGTCCTTGCACAGGTTGCAAACAGGTAAGAGAAACTAAATTTCGTGCATTCACAATTGCAAAAAAAGGTTTCAGGTTTCAACAGACAACAAAACTAACTGTCAACTAATTGACGTTTAACCTTATTCTGCTTTCAATTTCAAAACTATTTGCAGGCACAGCCTACTTCTAAAAATTATCGAGATACTGAGTTTTTAACGTTATTTTATCATAAATAATTAAAAATGCATCGAACCTTAAAAATCAAAATATCTCAAAAACGGCTAACTATAACGAAAATTCACAAGAGAGCTTTTTTATGTTGGAAAGTGCGAAGAATCAGTTTTTTTATTCAAAAAGCAAAAAATTGCACTATGAAAATTTTTTCGATCATTTTAATACACTACAGGTACAGTAGAGAGCGCCCTCTAGCGGCTACAGAAAAACTATGTTTCGTTTTGTCGTTCCAAAAAACCCTTGTATACCAATTTTCACTGTTATACATCAAATATTGTTCGAAATATTTAAAAAAAAACTATTTTAGAAAGCAAATTTAAACACCCTGTATTTCGGAAGCCACGCATTTTTCGACCCATGTTTATATAGACTTTATGCATTAATTTTAAAAATTCTATCGAATCTTAAAGTTATGCAACAATAAACTGTGCCGAAAAAAGTATGCAATATTCTACCAGCGGTTTGTAGAGCTTAAAATAGGAAGAAAAGTTTATATAACCATAGGTCGACAAACGTCCCCTAAGGGCGCTACGGTCTTTTAAAGGGACTCCCCTGAAGATGGTTTTTCCTTAATATTTCCGAAACGTGTTGAGATAAAGACATACAATTTGGTATTCTAGCCTAGTTTTTTATGCTGGATTTAAAAATATTAATAATTTTAGACAGTTCTGTTTGGAAGCGTATGTAACAGGGACGGACTCTGGTTATTTGAGCCCCAAAATTTTTGTGTGATTCGATTTTTAAATTCAATTTTAGAATTTCAAAATTTAGGGTTTTCTACACAAAAAATGTACTCTTATTGAATATCGATAAATTGTGAGTTTTTTGAATAAAATCAAACTAAAAAATTTGTCATATGATAGGAAATGTACTGCGAATTTAAATAAATTGTTGCCATGGCAACGAAAAAACTAATTTAATAATTGGTAAGTATTACATAAATACATATTTCTATTGCAACATAGCTAACATTTAGGCAAAAACAAAAGAAATATTTTTTTTCTACGAACGCAATTGAAATTTGTTTAAAAAAGAAGACATACAGTTGGATAACTTAAAACTAGCTTTACAATAAGTGTTCAAATAAATTCCCATTTTGATGGCTACAGAGTCTCGCTCGACGAACTAATGATAACGTAGCCCGAAAAGTGGAAAACCTTTTTCTTCTTATTTCATTTGCAGCCTGATGGATTCTTTGAAGTAAATCTTCTTGAGTATTTACTTTAGTCGATTAAACTAGGTCTTTTAATGACCCCCAAAAATAGAAATCCAATGGATTTAGGTCAGGTGAACGTGGCGGCCACGCTATAGGACCTCCTCGGCCTAACCACCTGTCTAGAAAATTGACATTCAACCAATTTCGAACATTGCGTCCAAAATGTGCAGGGGCGCCATCATGTTGAAAAAACATGTTTTCTTGAAACTGC